ATACAATAAAACAAGACAGAACAAAGCCAATCAAGACAATGCAGCAGGGGCTGGGAATTTAGCCCAGCGACATAAGCACTTGCCTTGCAAGCAGGTGGTCATGAGTTCGATCCCTGGTACCGATAAAAATGGAAAAAGACCAAAAAAAAAAAAAAAAAAAAAAAGACAATGCAGCAAAATTGGTACAGAACTTCAGAGCAGAATACCAGGAAACAATAATAGTTGCCCTGGTATATCTTGTTATCTTCACAGTAGTTGTCCATTCCATCAGGTATAGCAAAATCAAACCATAAACAAAACACTATAAACCCAACCAAACTACAGTATTGAATAAAGCAAAACAATTTGAACAAAGCAAAACAGTGAAAACAATGTTGGACTTCAAAGACAAGATAGAAGGAAATCCCCATATTTGTTATATTGCATATCGTCATCCTCCCAAGAGATGCTTAGACAGCTAGTCTCAGGCCTGCATAATCAACCAGTAAAATAATCAAACAGTAAAAGTATTTAGTTGCTTTAGTACCTTAGTTGTTATCAACTCAGGCTGTCGTCTGAACCATCTGATTGCTAATGGCAGGTCGCGGGGCAAGACAGTTTCAGCCGTGCATGCCAGTAGGCTAATAGGAGGTGCTAACTTTTCTTTCCCTGGAACATGCGTGGCTTGCACATCCTACCAGGAAGCCTGGCTAGTTGATTTCTTAGTTGCCCCCCAAGTCACAGCATGGCAGTCCATTGGTTCTTTGAGAGAACAAACACAATTCAAGTATAAAGATTAGCCAGAGTAAGTTTGGATATGTAGCTTTTTCAGAGAGTGAAGAGAATTCTGCTTTCTCTGTTGAAGGGGCTGCATACTGGAGAACGGTAGACATGCCACCACGATGGGCACAAGCTGACTTCCTTGGCATCAGCTTGTGTGGGTTGAATGCGTTAACCACAGTGTTTTCAGCCAGCTTTGAAGACTCAGTATTCTTGCTGCTAGGGACAGAGTAAAACATTATCTTTCTTTAAAAATGTTTTATAGGAAGAAAGCTTTAATTGGAAAGTCTTAGGGAAGACAGGAAAAGATTCAGCATAGGTGGCTGGAGGAGCCACTCTGATACAGGGGTTCAGACCAGCCCTCTACATAAGTGGCAGGCAGCTGTCAAGGACCGGCTGGTGAGTTAGGAGCTGGGTGATCAGTGTCTCATTATCTCGGTCACAGTTCTGGGATCTTGATGGCTGAAGGATGGTTTCCAAAAGAGGACTCTTGAGTCCAAGGGGATCTTAGTCACATGGGGCACCCCCTTCTCTGGAATCCCTGTGATCACAGGTTCAGGACTGTGATTGGGGCTTCTGGGAGTAGTTGAATATCTCTGTAAATTTATTGTAGGAAATCCCTGTATGAAAACTTATTGAAGAAAGGAATGTGGGGAATAGGAATGGGGGAATGGAGAATATGAATGACTCCTGGGGTTCTGAATGAGCTGCCCAACATTATCATTTTTTCTTAAGAAAATCAGTAAATCATGTTTAGAAAACTGTGAACATAGTAGACAACAGATTTTTTTTTTTTTCTTAAAAACCAAAACAAAACTACATATTAGCCAGGTGGGGTGGCACACACTTGTAATCCTAGCACTAAAGAGACTGCAGCAGGAAGATTGCTGAGAGTTTGAGACCAGCCTGGGCTACATGAGTTGAAGACCTGGTCTGAACTACACAGCAAGACCTTGTCTTAAAACAACAACAGGCAGGGTCTGGTTGGGCATGCCTGTAATCCCAGCACTTGGTAGGCTAAGGCTGGAGAATTGCTTCACATTCAAGGTCAGCCTGGACTACAAAGTGAGTTGAAGGCCAGTCTGAACTGCATAGTGAGATCCTGTCTAAAAACAACAGCAACAAGACCTACATATTGTTGGTAGTATGTATGAGAATGAGACCTTTTTCTTCTCCATTTTTCCTTTTTTGCGGGGTGGAGTAGGGTTTATGTGTGTGTGACAGGGTTGAACCCAGGGTCTTGGGGCATGCTAGGCAAGTGCTTTTATCACTGAGCCACCACCTCCCCCAGTTTTAAAAATTTTCATACAGAATTTCACCAGGTTTTTCAGGTTAACCTTGAACTGTGTTCCTTTTGCCTCAGCCTCCTGAATATCTGGGGTTACAGATGTGTGCAATCATTGTGCCCAGCTTGGACTATTATTTTAAAAAAACAAAACAAAACAAAAAAAAAACTTCATAGGTATTCATTGAGAACCTAGTATTTTTCAGATTCTGGAGCTACAGTGGAACAGACAGCTGTGGCCCTGTCCCTGGGGCCAGAGTTGAGCTTCTCATGGACTAGAGGACAGAGTTAAGGGTTGGCAGATAGAAATAACAGGGTCGGTCTCTCTCTCTCTCTCTCTCTCTCTCTCTCTCTCTCTCTCTCTCTCTCTCTGTGTGTGTGTGTGTGTGTGTGTGTGTGTGTGTGTAATCCTTAAGGAGAGATAGCACAAGTAAAGTACTGCACAGAAACAGCAAATGCCAAAGTGAGCATCAGTGGAAGCCAGCTTTCTCTTCGCCATTTTGTATTTTTAAGAGGAACAAAAAGTTTTATTGCTTAAGCAGGACTACATTCTCCCAGAATGAACAATTATCATCAAATGAAACATAGCTAACATTTTTTTTTTTTTTTTGTCTTTTTTGTTGTTATCGGTACCAGGGATTGAACTCACGATTGCCTGCTTGCAAGGCAGGTGCTTATGCCGCTGAGCTAAATCCCCAGCCCCAAGCCATCTTATTTCTGCCTTTAGCATATTTTCCCCTCATTTTGCAGGCCCTCTCCCTCCAACCCTGAATCCTTGCTGTGTTGCAGGACCTTCTTCAGGAATCCTTTCTGCATACCATTCTCTATGTGATGGCCACCAGTCTTTGCATTCTTATGGACAATCCTGTGCACTAATATAGTTCATCAGCATTGTACAGAAGACAAGAAAGTGTCTGGTTGAGAGTCAAGACATGGTTCATTTTCTGTTCTGCCATTTATTTATTTTAATATTTTCATGATGGGAATTGAACCCAGGGCCTTACACATGCTAGGCAAGTACTCTACCACTTAACTAAATCCACAGTCCTGCTGTTTATTTTTTTAGTATTTTTAGACATCACTAAATCTCAGTCAAAATACAAATCCAGGGACTGTGGACTCAGTGGTATAGCACTTGCCTAGCCTGCATGAGGTTCTAGATTCACTCCCCAGCACCACATACATATATTAATAAACAGACCAAAACAATTATAGTCAGTAACATTTATTGAATGCTTACCACGTAACAAGCATTGTGCCTCTGCTGTTTTCATTTAACTTCCTGTGACTGATCCCACTTTATAGGGTGAATCTGAAGATGAGAGAAGGTTCTAAAAGACTATACTGAGCAAATGACATACTATAATTTCCTAAAAGAGAAGAAAGAAAATAAAAAGTAGGTACTTAGAGGAATCTCAGAGAGGACATACACCAGTACATTAACCTATGGGAGAGACAAGTTGTTTTTTTTCTTGTTTATTCCTTTCAAGGGCTATTTCTTACACCCACCCCCACCCCCCGCACCAGTTTGAGGGCAGAACATGTAGAAGATGCTTAGTAAGTAAGTACTGATCGAGGTAGAAAATGAAGGCCTCCTTTCTCTTTGCCCCCATTTGTCTTGGCCTGGCCCCAATATTGTAGCAGTGTCTTTGTGAGTAACTTTATTATTTGTTTGTGCTATTGTGCTTCTGTTCATCTGGAAAGTTCCCCAAGTGGGTTGCCCCTTCCAGTGGCAGAGTAGAAGCCTACAGGGATGGACGATGAGCTTGTTGTGCTGTGGGACCGTATTTCCCTGGCTGACGAAGGTTGAACCCCTGCAGCTGGTGATGGAAATTGGTTGGCCAATTTATTATTTACTTCAGCCCAGAATTCTGAGTAGGCTGGCAACAGTCTGCTAGGTGACTAACACACAGCTGATGCAGACTGGGTATTTCATGGGCTGCTGTGTTTTATTGCACAGTGCTGGGCACAGCCTTATCTAACTAAATTCCAACCAGCACTCTATTCCCTTTGCTTTCTGTACAAGGCACAGATACCAGCAGGTAGGTTGTGGTACCCTCAGGTATACTTGTGGTGATGTGGAAGACTGGCATTGCTTACCAAGCAGAGAACTGTTACAGTGATGTTTTCTTTTCTCTCAACCCCTCACCCTGTACTGGGGATTGAGCCCAAAATCTTCACACTGAACTACATCTTCAGTCCCTTGAGACAGGGTCTTGCTAAATTGCTAAATTATTCAGGCTGTCCTTGAACTTGAAGTTCTCTTGCTTTAGCCTTTCAGAGTGCTGGGATTTCAGGTATGTGCCACAGTGCCCAGTTTGATGTTTTTGGTAGCTTTTAATGTTTATTTATTTATTTTTGTTTTTGTTTTTTTGAGACAGGGTCTCACTATGTAGTTTAGGCTGGTCTTGAACCCACTATGTAGCCTACACTGGCTCAAACTTGCAGCCTCCTGCCTTAGCTCCCAAGTACTGGGATCACTGACATGTACCACCATGCCCAGCTGGTAGCTTTTTATTTCAAATGTACTGTAGTTTCACATGTACTGAAGAGTTGTTAACATGTTAACATGAAGAACTCTTGTATTCTTTTTACCAAGATTCACTATCAGCATTTTGCTTTGATTTCTTTCCTGTGAACCTCTACTCCCCTTTGTCTCTTTGCACATAGGTATACATTGACATCCTTTTTTGAACTGATGATGGTAAATTTCCCTTTATTTGTGAAAGCCTCAATGTGTATTATAAGAAGTTTAACATCAACGCAATGGTATTAACCTTGTCTACTGTCCATATTCTGTCTACTTTATATTATATTCCCAGTAATGACAGTTTTATTGTAAAGAAAATAAACAGGGACATCTCCTTGGTTATATTCCTCAGAGGAGGGCACAATGGCAGGCATTTGAGGAGGTGACTGCCAGGATGTTAATCACCATTTCCTTGTATCTCTACAGATTCAGAGTGAGGGTAGCAAGAATCACTCAGCAACAATGTCAGCAGAAGTGGAGACTTCTGAAGGGGTAGATGAGTTGGAGAGAAAGAATCCTGTGGCCCCAGAAAAGGAAAACCATATCAGGTGAGTGATGAGGGCTGGTTACATCAAATCAAGGGGGCCCAGCATCTTCTATGCACAACATATTTGATTTTGTTTTTGGAAGCACTGGGAGTTGGTCATGGGACCCAGAGCTGTGAATCCTAGGAGGCCTGGTAAACACTGCAGGGCTTTGTTATCTTTTTATTTTGTTTTATTTTTGATCTTTTTAAAACAGGGCCTCACTATGCAGTTGAGGCTGGCTTTGAGCTTACTTTGTAGCAATGATCCTTCTGCCTCAGCCTCCCAAATACTAGGACTTCAGGCATAAGCCACCACACCCAGCTGCTCTTTTACTTTATCCAAGGAAGCAGGGTAGGTGCTGCTGAGAGTCTTTTTTTTTTTTTGAGACAGAGTCTCCCTGTGTAGTTCAGGCAGACCTTGAATTCACTTTGTAGCCCAAACTGGCCTCAAATTTGCAGCAATCCTCTTGCCTCAGCCTTCCAACTGCTGCTCAGGCTCCCATGCCTGGCTTTGGGAGTTCTGAGTAATAGGTTTTAATAATGGTCTTAGACATTTTTTTTTTTTGTCTTTTTTTTTTTGGAGACAGGGTCTCTATGCAGTTCAGGCAGGCCTTGAGCTCACTTTGTAGCCCAGGCTGGTCTCAAACTCAACGATGATCCTCCTGCCTTAGCCTCCTGAGTGCTGTGATTACTGGTGTGAGCCACCACGCCCGGCTCTAGACATTTTTTCTTAAAAACCTAAATTGTTTTTCATTGAGCTGAGAAGTGGTAATCAGTTAAAGCTGGCTTATTTCACAGCCTCTTCCTCAGTCAGGGCAGGCTTTATTTCTTATTATCAAGACTACTACTCTATAAATCTTAAATTACTGGGCCCTTTCTGCATTATTCTTAAGCCTCTCATTAGAGCCCCATCATTAGAACCAATCTCTTGGTTCCTTTTTATATTTAGAAATAGTTTCTAATAACAAACTGGTTCTCAACATGAAGGTGAAACAAGCTAATCTTGTAAGGAAGCCAGCAGAGACTGGGCCATGAGAGGGCCAAATTTTTCTCACTCTAATAGACTGTGGATTAGAGCCCAGCTCAGGTGCCATCATTCTTAGGATCATACGTTTTCTGCTTTGTCCATCAGTTAGCACAACTCTCTCCTATGTGATTTTGTTAACAGAAACCCAAAGTCCCTACCCCAAACTCTCATTGTTTCTTTCTCATATTCCTGCTCCTGGGGCCAGACAAAGGTAGTCCTGAAGACCTGACACACAGTGAGAGGAAGGCAGCAGGGCTTCCCTAGGGGGTCCACACTGTCATAGCCCTTTGTAGCAGCATGGCCTGGGCTCTGGGAGACACATTTCCAAAGGAAGGCTAAAAAGTGAAGCCAGTAAGTGCTGATGTGATTAGAGGTGTGTGTTTATTCTGCCAGTAGGTGGCCACAAAATGGGCTTCCTAGCATATACAGATGGACATATGACTCAAACTCTGAGGAGGGTTTTTTTTTTTCCTTTTCTTCCTTCCTTTTTTTTGAAACAAGGCCTTGCTATTTAGTCCAGGATGGCCTAGAACTCATTATGTAGCCCAGGCTAGTCTTGAATTCAGAAGAGTCCTCCTGCCTCAGCCTCCTGAATATTGGGATTATAAGCATGTGCCACCATGCCTGACTTGAGGAGACCATATATTTGCATGTCACCTGAGTCCTTGGGGCAGACTGACAGGTCTGTTTGTTCTATGTGCTCTAACAAGACCCAGCTGTTTATGCTGAAGTGTCTATATAGCCCTGCCTCCAGTCCATCAAATGGTCACCCTGGGACATAGGCTGACTTTTTTTCTGGGTCCTTTCTGGGGAGTTGGGACACACGCACGCACGCACACACGCACACACACACACACGCACACGCGCACGCGCGCGCACACACACACACACACACACACACACACACACACACACACACCCTTATCTTTACAGAATGCCTGATCTCTCTGAGCTGCTGAAGGAAGGAACCAAGGAAGCACATGACCGGGCAGAAAACACCCAGTTTGTCAAGGACTTCTTGAAAGGCAACATTAAGAAGGAGCTATTTAAGGTTTGTGTCAGTCAAACAAAGATGGATTCCAAATTTTGATATGGGCTTGGGGTGGGGGCCTTAGTCCCTGAGGAAGATACCCTGGAGCTGTTCTCAAGGAGAAGCTGGGCTTTTCTTCATGTTCACTCATTTTTGGCATTAAGCTCTGGCTCTCCTGCCTTAAATGGAATAACATAATGATGGAAAGGAACCAAAAATATCCATGTCCAAAGAATTTATGTCATTCCTTTGAGAAACAAAAGCTTCCCAGGTATGTTAAGTAATTTACCATATAAAAATGGGCAGTAGGTTGGATCTTTGGGGACTGAGAGGGGGTGCTACTTGAGGTTTACTTTCAAGTCACTCTGATGTAGTTGACATTAGAGTGGTAGCCCTCTCCCACCGTTTACCTTCTGTCACTCCCATAGCTGGCCACAACTGCACTTTACTTCACATACTCGGCCCTCGAGGAAGAAATGGACCGAAACAAGGACCACTCAGCCTTTGCCCCCTTGTACTTCCCCATGGAGCTGCACCGGAAGGAGGCACTGACAAAAGACATGGCGTATTTCTTTGGTGAAAACTGGGAGGAACAGGTGATGTGCTCTCAGGCCACCCAGAAGTATGTGGAGCGGATCCACTATGTGGGGCAAAATGAGCCAGAGTTGCTTGTGGCCCATGCATATACCCGCTATATGGGGGACCTTTCAGGGGGACAGGTGCTGAAGAAAGTGGCCCAGCGGGCCCTGAAGCTCCCCAGCACAGGGGAAGGGACCCAGTTCTACCAGTTTGAGAATGTGGACAATGCCCAGCAGTTCAAGCAGTTCTACCGGGCCAGGATGAATGCCTTGGATCTAAGCCTGAAGACCAAAGAGAGAATCGTGGAGGAAGCTAACAAGGCTTTTGAGTACAACATGCAGGTACTGCTGGGTACTGACCACAGGATCAGCTCTGTTGGGCTGCAGTGAACCTTTTACAGGGGGAGCAAATCTAGAACTTCCTGGGAGAGCATCAGTGGCACGAGGAGAGATGAACTGCAATATATCCTATAAAAAGGCAAGGGAACCAAATAGGCACAAGAAGTTTGTGGGCCCAGTAGATAGCCTCCAGCATGGAGACCTGGCTTGGTAGAGGCCTATAGATAGAAAGTTGGGACAGGGAGGCCCCAGCAGATATAAAAAAGGAGCTGTGTGTCTCCCTCTCATCATAGGATGCTGGTATTCAGGACTGGATGATTTTCCCCTTTTGAGCAAGGATTGCTATGAAAAGTCTTGCTTGGTAAGTTCAGCTAGAGCCAGATTCATCAAGGAAAGTAAGCACAATAGCTATTTACAACTAGCTTTGAGTTGGAGGCAAGCTTGAGGCTTATTTGGCCCCAAAAGTATATTGTCAGCCCCCAGGGTGAAGGAAAGGAGGTTTGGGCAAGTGAGATGTCAGGCTGATCACAGTTCCCAGCAGCCCTTTAGTGTAGCTTCACAGGACAACATAGGATGTGTCTGCCCTGCTATGGCAGTTTCTCCCATATTCTCATTTTTCTCTTATTTCTTGCTAAGTAATAGCCAGCAATCAGAAATGAAGTACCAGTAGCTCCTTCACATATCTCTATCCTGATAGTTTTGGTTATTTGAGCCCCCTCAGAGACAGCTGGCATGGGATATGTGTCTGGTTGAGTATTCAGGGAAAATTTACCACAGTGGTTGTTAACCTGTGAGTGCTATCGGCACAGGTATGGCCTTACCGCCTCTGTTCCTACTAGGGGGAGAGAGCACTAGTGTCCTGTCATCCACCCATGGGGCTGCTTGCTTGGCTAATCGGCCCCTCTGCACAAGTGCACCTGTGCCAGCTCCCTCTGTATGAGTAGGGATAGAGTGGGTATCTACTCTGTGCAGTCCAGGGATGGCTGTTGATCTCTGCTTCTCAGATATTTGATGAACTGGACCAGGCTGGCTCCATGCTGGCTAGAGACACCCTGGAAGATGGGTTCCCTGTGCATGATGGGAAGGGAGACATCCGTAAATGCCCCTTCTATACTGCTCAACAAGACAAAGGTAGGTTGTGGGTTCCAAGCTCCTCTCCTGGGGTGGGCATGTTATCAGCCCCTAGTGATACCATGTTTCCTATCGTACTGCACACAGGTGCCCTGGAGGGCAACAGCTGCCCCTTCCGGACAGCCATAAGTGTGCTGAGGAAACCCAGCCTCCAGTTAATTCTGGCCACCAGTGTGGCCCTGGCTGCTGGACTTTTGGCCTGGTACTACATATGAAGGACCTGTCATGCCATGGTGGCACCCTCCTCCCAAGTGACCACTGCCCACTCCTATCTCCACTTCTTGACTACCACCTCAGGTGACTTTTTAAAATGCTGGGTTTGAGAAAACAAGCAACCAATAAAAAAGTCAGATGCTAGAGCCTCTGCCTGATGGCATATTCTCTGCGGGCCCGATGCACAGCACAGCAGGGCAGGCCTGGCCCGGGCCTCTGAACCAGCTTTGCTCCAAAGCTCCTCAACCTCTTGGGCCCCAGACACTTTCTCTCCCCAGTATGTGGGGAAGCTATCCTTGTCTTGATAGAAGTGAGTAGCCAGCATGCCAAGGTTCGGGGCTAGGGGTTTCTTGCCAAATGATGCTGCTCAACTTTTGGGCCTCTCACCTCTTAAGGAGTTTGGGGGTGGGCAGAAGCAAGGCCCCTCTGCTTCTGCAGCTCTAGAACTCATCACTCTCAACTAGGATGCTCCTGAGGTCTACTAATCTGGGCTGTCCCCTCTGACCTGTATAAATGCTTAGTAAAATAGACTGCATGGGGCTGGGGATTTGGCTCAGCGGCATAAGCGCCTCTCTCGCAAAGTGTGCGGTTGTGAGTTTGATCCCTGGTGCCGATAAAAAAGACTAAATAAATAAATAAATAAATAAATAAATAAATAAAATAGACTGTATATGTCCTCCTCCCTTTTTTTTTTTTTTTTTTTTTTAAAGATAGGGTCTCACTATGTAGTGGTTTTGCCTTGAACTCACTATATAGTCCAGGCTGGCCTTAACTTCCAGTAACCCTGCTGCCTCAGCCTCCCAAGTGCTGGAATTATGAGTATGCCACCAGGCCCACCTCACATAAGGTGGGTGAAGTTTTGTTGTGAACCCCAATATCCCATAGGGAAGGACAGTCCCCTCATAACAGTGGCATGTTGTATCCATGTAGAGAAGTGGGTATCTTCCCTGACAGCCCCAGAGAGCTCCCTTTTGTCTTTATGTGCTACCCCCCAGCTCTACAGTTACCTCCTAGCATCCACCTCATCACCAAGACTCTGAATACCTTTATCACAAAGATAATATTTATCTGTACCTGTGATTATTTTCTAGCTTTGATATTTTGGAGGTTTTCTACTTAGAAAGCATATATCTGTAATTTATACACAATTCATCTAAAGTAATTTGTGACGTTAAATATTTTTATTGATAGGAAACTATTACTGTAAAAGTTTTATTCAAAAGGGAGTTAAATAGTGAGGAAACACTTCTTAAACTACAAATTGAGCACACCACTTTCACAGTTAGGGAAGTTAGGCCACTGCCAGGGCTGATCTAGAATCCCCAGTGTCTCTATCTTAAAGGTAGGATGACATCAAGCTGAAGCTGGGGAGAGGGGTTTTCCCGCTTTCAGATACTGTGGCTGGATACCAAGTAAGGTAACTTTATGAGCACTGCTGAAGCCAGCTCCTGTCCTGGGCTAGTCACAGCTGGATTTCCAGGAATAGTCTACATCAGACTCTGGCACAGTTAAGTCCTTATGTATCGATGTTGTTGCCAGACAGTTGGGTTCAGCTTCCTACCTGCCAGTAGATTCACATATAAACCCACCCTCTTTCCCTCAGAAAAAAAGGAAGCCAGGCAAGACAGTAGAGGCCCAGCTCAGGGGAATGAAAGGGCCAATTTAATTAGTAACTACAAACCAGGCCGCAATTCACAGTGATGGGAGGCCATGCAGTGGCAGTGCGAGACCAAGAGAGGGACAGCAATAGGATACAGCATCCACATGGGCAAATTCACAAACTATTCAGGAAATAAACACAGATTTGGGCTATACCGAGGGCAAGGCTGGTATCTACTAGGGTACTCCCAGCACTTACGCCAACTCTTTCCTAGCCCAGTGCCACAGCTGTTTCTACTGGAGTACCCCAAAGGGAGGGTGTGCAGAATAACACCAAGTCAGCTAAGGGTCTAGCACTTACTGAGAAGAGAGCCAAATGCAGAGGGTGCTGCAGATCCCACTACACCTGTAAGGAGTTCCTTTATATCTGTCCTCGCCAGGACACAGTTAATGGGAAGAGGCTATACCCACACCCAGGGAGAACATAGTACACAAAACAAGCTAAGTTTGTGAGAATTCCTTCTGGCCTTAGAAAAATAGTGGTTCACAGAGATGTGGCCAGAGTAGGGCTACACACTGACTCAAAGGGAAATGCATGAAGGCGAGTCCCTCTTGGCTACCTTATACCAGATGGTTGTTGGGCACATGGACAGGGAGTTCTGGGTTTCCACACCTGAGAGATCTGAGGGCCAGAATTACCAGTTATTATTTCTGTCATGCCCTGTCTCTGGCACTGCAGAGGCACAGCATACATCTTAACAAACCCAGGACTTGACTCTGTCCTGCATGGGTCCAGGCAGACTTCAAACAATACTCTGATCTTGATCCAGCAAATCAGAAATGACTGCAGCTCCAGGTACAGCCCCACTATAGATCTCCATCCTGGACCCAGTACTACTATGGCTACTTTTGGTCCCAAGGACAGTCGGGACCAAGTTGGGACCTTGTAGGGAAAGGGAAGAATGGGAACCCCAGTAGGAAACCCTTCCCAGCTTATCTTCTGGATCACAGATGTCAGCCAAACCAGCAATACACAAGTTCAGTGCCGCCACCATCCCCGCTGCCACCCACTGGCCCCTGGCCTTAAATCCAACAGAACTTTTGCTGGAAAAGTCAGATGCTCAGGTTAGGGCAAGGCAAAGAGGACAGGACTTTCAGGGGACAGTGGCACAGCTTCCTACCCCAAGTGAGGAGAGAAATGACCACTGAATGCAGGGAGCAAAGCATGGGGCTAGACTGACAGGCAGATGAGTCCAATCTGGCTCCGTCAGCACAGGCGCTTGTATGTATAGATGTAGGCTTTGCAGCTGGGGCATGTATGTGTCACATCCTTGAAGTCGTTGATGAGGCAGGGGATCAAGCAGCAGCCTAGATCACACCTGAAGCAAAGACAAGAGAGACAGGCTAAGACTTGAAGAGAAGCAGAAGTGGCCCTACCCTACTTGCACCCCTCACCTACCCCATGAAGCAGCAGAAGAAACCCAGCACAAAGTTCATCAGTCCAATCTCATAGGAGATCTTGGTAGTTATAGCCTGCTGGCAGTGGGGACACACAGTCTGCACTGGTGCACCTTCAAAGATCTCTCCCTGCAGCACTGTCACCGTGGTGGCAGCCCCTGAAGGGACCAAGACTGTTGCTGTGTGGCCCCCAGGGCCAGGGTAGGGTCCTGGAGGGTAGGGTCCTGATGGGTAGTAGCCCATGGGTGGGTGAGGACCTGGAGGAGGGTAAAAACCTGGAAAGCACAGATGAGTAGAGACATCTTAACACATGTTGCCTTCCCTGACAAGAGATAACACAAAGCTGGGTCTCCAACACCCAGGACACAGCTTAAAACTTCCTGCCACACTTGTAATGGGGCCACTGAGTGCCAGTGAGAATCCCTGAGACTAAAGCCCAACTTAAGATGGTTGTCCACATTTTCCTAGTCCTTTATGTTCCCTAACCTGTGGGACCAAGACAGATTTGGTGGAGTTAAGACCATGACCCAGTGTTTCCTTCACTTCTAGCATGCAGGGACCCGGTGCTTAGGTGCTTGCAAGGATGACAGAAGAGAGACCTTGCTCTTCTTCAGCCCCTTTCCTGCACAGGGGGCCTCAAATTCAAAACCACCAGCCCACCTAACCCAGTAGCCTGTTCTGGAGCCACACATGCTTCTTGGGCTTGAGTAGGAGCTTCAGAGAGCTGCTGGTGAGCAGACCATGAAGCTCACATTAAGGGCTTTTTAAGTCCTCAGGAGAGCTCGGTAGTACCCATTGTCCTCACCATACGCTACTGTAACTGAGGGGCCTTCCCTGAGCTGGTGTCCTCTAGCATGACAAGCCCAGTAAGACATCTTGTTCTGTGTCATCCCTTGCTGTATCCACAATCTGTGGTGGACAACTAACTGTTTACACTGAAGGCTGGATAGCAGTCACCCCCATGCTCCCTCATGTCCCTTCCCAGTTCACCTGGAGCCATGTAGGTGCCTTCTGCACCCATATGAGGGGGGACAAAGCCAGGCTGAGGCATTGGATGACCTGGTGGCTCATATGGTGGGGGGCCAATGTCTGCAGGGGGCAGTGGCATGCCTGGTGGGGGCTGCATCACAGCTGGTGAGGTACGGCCTGGACAGAGAGAGAGAGAGGCTCAGCTGGTCTCAGTACATAGGCTGGGTAGAGTAGGAGGCCAAACTGTACCTGGGGAGGAAAAAAGAGGAAGGCCTATGACAGGGACCCCAAGAGCAAGATCCCTACCTGGAGTGGGTGGAGCTCCACTTTTTTCCTCCAGCAGTGGGGCTGTGGGGCCCCCAGGATAAGGAGGGGGTGGTTCATTAGACATCTTTGCTGCTTCCCCTGAACCTGCAAGGAAAACCCAGACATGAACCCAGCTCCCAGCCAAACTGCTTCTCACTTGGCTATGGCAAGGACTGTAGTACAAGGTGTGTGACCATCCTCAGAGGTGCCCAGTTGAGCCTAAGCACTTGGCTTCCTATGCTTCTCCCACAGGGGTCTCCCTGCTCAGGGACCTCAGCTGCCACTTTACTTTCCCTCTACATAAATCTTCAAACTCTGAAAGGAGCAGGGCTAATGGGCTGGGACTAAAGCCTTCAGGAGTGCCATCACTGGACTCCTTGGCACTAGGGCTGACCTACTATTACCAGTGGTCCACTAGCTTACAGCTACCAACATCTTCACCTCTCCCCAGTCATCCACACTTGAGGGCAAGTCCTAGTGAGATAAGACCCTGACCCACCAGTCCTGGGACCCTAACCCTGTCTGACATCTAGTTTCCTCACCCTACCCCTCAACATTTAGGAGATGCTAAGGGAGTCATGGAGTGGCTATCCACTACCAGAGGCTTTTGTGATCCAGGGACAGTTTCTCACCTCAGATCTGATACTCAAAGGGAGGCAGACGAAAGTCCTTGAGCTGCTGGCCAGACAAGGCTTTGGGGAACTCTTCAGGGGAAGAGGCAGCATCCTTAGCCCAGGAGGGCTCTCAGGTAGTGCCTAGGCACACCCTGTCACTGTGCTATTTATAGGTCTAAGCTTTCTACTCCCCTGATCACCTGGCAGGTCCAGTGTCTCTCCTGTGTCCTCTGCTCTCCAACAGACCCAACAGATCCACTTCTCATGCATGAAGGAATATAAAATAAGCCAGTCATGGGATGGGTTAGTCTATTAGCTTGGGTTAGTCCTGTTTTGGTTAGTTTGGGAATTGAGAAGGAAGGGATTCAGTCAAATGAAACACATTGGTTTCTTTCTTTCACCAAATTCCTTGAGTACCTAGGCCCTAGGAAAAAAGCAAGGAAGCTAGAGGTCTTCTTGCCTTCACTTTTATTTAGCATCATAAAGGAACAATTATTTATGGTACCAAGAATTAACAGCATTTTGAAATGAAAATAATACTATGAACTAGAAAAAAAACAACAGTACAATAGTATACAAACTACAAAAATGGTTCTCCCGGGGCTGGGGATTTAGCTCAGTGGTATGAGCTCCTGCCTTGCAAGCAGGCAGTCATGAGTTCGATCCCCGGTACTAATAAAAAAGAAAGACAAAAAAAAAAAAAAGGTTCTCCCAGCAAAGCCCTACCCACAGCCCTTATAGTCCAATCGTACAGGTTAGTTTCAAAACAGAGGCTGGGTTTCATAAATTAAAAATTAAATTTAAAAAGTTAGTTGCAGGGCTAGAGGGACCCAGACCAAGATCTCAGTCTCAACTACAAAGAAACATGACCGTTTTACTGGGCATGGTAGCACATGCCTTGTAACCTCCAGCACTCAGGAGCCTTCGACAGAAGGACCATGAGTTTTAAACCAGCCTGGTCTTACATAATGGTAAGACCCTGTCTCAAAAAAAAAAAAAAAAAGAAGGAAATATAGGTATAAATCTTCATGACCAGCATCAAAATTAAAAACTTGTGCTCTGTGGTACACTACGGAGTTTTGTAAGCCATCTACCTGAAGAAGGACTTCTATTTAGAATATATAAGGAACTCACGACTCAGTAACAAATCTCCCCCCACCCTCCGAAAATTAATCTCAGGACCTCGTGCTTGCCAGGCAGGTGCTGTGCCACTGAGCTATATCCCTGGCCCAACAAATCACTTTTAAATGGCCAATGATTTGGACAGATTACTTCTTGAAAGATAAGTGGCCAAAGAGCAAATAAAAAGATGAGCACCTTTTCCAAGGGAAATGAAAACCCAATAAAAAATCAGGCACAGTGTCATTTAGTCCCTAGGTTCTCAAGAGGTTGAGGCAGGAGGATTGATTTGAGTACACAAGTTTGAGAATAATCTGACCAATACAGCCAGTGCATGTCTAAATAAAATATATCTAACCTGGGCTAGGGGGTGTAGCTTAGTAGTAAGGTAGTTGCCTAGCACATGTAAAGCCCTGGACTTGATCCCCAGCCTAAGTACACATACACATCCAAAAGAGATACCGTTTTTTTTTTCTTTTTTAAAAAAAAATACAATTTCAAAAAAAAAAAAAAAACCAGTAAGAAATCACTAGTTGATAAATTACATATTGTCCTCTTAGAAATAGTTGTCCAAGTTACACAAGTAAAGCATACAAAGTGGACATTCAAACAGCAAGACTGCGAACAGTTCTGTTCAACGATCTAACAAAAACCTAGTAATAATGGTTACCAATCCTACACACTTAAAACATACATGCAGTTATATCTGGGTTGTATTACTCCTACATTTTTTATTACTTTTAGAGATACCATTTTATAGCTACTAGGATGGCTACAATCTGAAAGACTAACATGCACAGAAAAGGGAGAACCCACACATTGCTAGGAGTGAAGCCTTATAGGACACACAGCCCTGTTGCTACTCTGTCTCCTCCACATCCTACTAATCCTGTCATCTTCCAGAACTGTAGCAGAAATGGGAGTTGGGGGAGATTCCTCATGTGTTCAAAGAGCATCTATCTGGACAATACCAACTGCCTTCCAATGTAAAATGAATGGATAAGCCAGGAGTGTTCATACACACCTGTAATCCCAGGCTAAAGCAGAAAGATCAGCATGAGTTCAACTCCAGCCTATATGGTGACTGCAAGGCCAGTGTGGACTACAGTGAGACCCTGAATATAAAGAAAGAAAAACTCAGGCCTTGGTCACAGTGCCAAGTGTCTTCAAGAATTTCTTGTGTAGCTGGTAATGGTGGCTCACACATATAATTCTAGTATCTGGGAGGCTGAGGTAGGAAGATCACTGTGAGTTTGAGGCCAGCCTGGACTACACAGTGAGTTCAAGATCAGTCTGAACTACATAGCAAGACCCTGTCTCAAAAAAAAAATATTGTAAACCTTAGGTTCCTGTTTTTACCATTTTCTGGCCAGTGTTGTGAATGCCAGGAGTACCACACTCAGCCCACACTAAAGCAGTGTGCCTACTGATCAGCCCACAGAGGTGGCTCCTACTGTAGAAGCTGTAAGCCCTTGAGAAGACAGAAGTACTTTTCAGAAGCTGAAGTATAGGCAGGAATTGTTAAGTATCCAGAAATACGTATGAGGTGCAGGTTCCATCTAGGAGTACAAACTAAGTTAAACTGCCCAAGGAGCTATGTTGCCTCAACAGTATTTTCAGGTGCAGGTCAGGTCTGAAGGAAGGTTCTGACCTTTGCCAAAAAAATGAGACCCTACCCCAGTGTACTTTTCCAAGGGCAGACCTCAAGGGTAGGACATAGTCTGCCATCCTAGGCATAAGACCAAGTACTTTTCTGTAAAGTCACTCTCATTCTTCAAACCACAGTGTACTGACAGTATCCAGATCTTAAATATCATCTGCTATTCACTCTGGCCTGTTATTCAGTCATGGAGGGCCTTGGGGCCTGAAACCTTTACTTTGTGCCCCAATGATGAAGCCCAATCTTTGCTCCTCCTCAGTCTTTCAGACAACTCTGGCAATGAGTGTGTACACTTCATCTTCACTCCGCCTAGCACACACTACGCAGGGCACGCTCAGCCCTACTGCCACATAGATGCTCTTGCTTCTCTGGGGAGCTGCCAGGTGGAGGTGTTCCCAGGAGTGAGGACAGAAATGATATTTTAAAATGCCTGTGGTAGTTTTAGGGTACACTACAGAGCCATTAAGCTAAGCAAAACTACTGTATTACTCCATTCTTCAATCCCAGGCCACATAGAATGTGACTCAGCTCTGAGAAAAGAACCGACTTCTAATGTGGAACTGATGTGGAACCAAATTTGAAACCACATCTTCCTCGCTCAGTGAGAGTAGAAAAGACCAGCCCGCATCAGGCCACCAGTGAATGAGGAAAACCGTGAGAATGGACAGCATGGAGCTCTGGAGCCAGACAAACCTGGGTTCAAATCCAGGACCTTGGGCAGGTCACAGAGCCTCTACCTTCCTATGTGAACTGAGTCTAGGACACCTGCCTCTGAGTCAGGCCTCACTAGACCCCTTATTGGGGAGAGGAGTGCTGCTTATTAAGAAGGATAAAAACATGGAATTAGATCACAGTGATAATTACACTTTGTGAACATATTAAAAGCACTGAACTCTAATGATGGGTATATTCTGAGAAAGTGATTTTGTCATTGTGCTAACATTACAGATTATACAAACTTAAGGTGGCTAAGACATCACTAGGCAAATTAAACTTATGGGATCTCATCATATATGTAGTTTATCAATGACTAAAATGTTATGTAGCACATAGCATTTGAAAGTAATACAATTCTAGGACAGGGCAGTTAAGGACAGCTTTGATGTGAGAGGGCAGGGAGAGGAGGGAAAAGGTCTGCTTTTCAGTGGGAGCTCCAAGCACAACACCCTCAGGGCCCTGGGAACTGCCTCTGATGTTCTGTTCCACTCTTCAATATTCATTATTGTCTGCAGTGAACTTTGCAGTTGATCCAAGGCCAAAGGCAGGCCAGTGGGCCGTGGCCTACCTGCCACTGCAGGGCCCCTTGGAGTATAACAGCAGGATACACACCTCCTGGCTATAGCCAGTGCTGCAAGGTTGATGGGAATGCTTCAAAACTTTCCTGTGCACTGCAACTGGGGTTGTGTACAAGCTGGGCACCCACAGATATCATAAATTTCTATGGAAGAAAGCCAAAGAGAGGAGAGGAAAGCAGCACGATGAGTTCCCCAGGGACAGTCAGTCTGGTTGGCTCTATCCATTAGTGTGCTTTCTTGGATAGGACAGACCCTGAGGGGCTGAAGCAGAAAGGTGACACAGGGGACAAGCCCAGAGGGACTTCCTGACACTAGTTTCCTCAGGGTCTGGCAGAGTAATAGTTCTCAGACATTTTGGACTCAAGACTTACTTAGAGTTGATAACTAAGGACTTCAAATAGATTTTGATTTTGTGGG